CCCCCCCCCCCCCCCCCCCCCCCCCACATCGTTTGTAACCCCAGCTGCACCACACTTTCTTCCAAATTAAGCATTAAATCTTGCGTCTTTGGCGCTTACACAGAGCTATTGCACTTCGATTTCAACCTCGACAGTGTTGTCACCCCATTTATTTGACCGAAAAATCTGTCTCTATTCCAGGCTGTGATAGCTATTTGGACATAATTATGTTAGTCTACTCCAGCTGAAAACTGTCAAAATGCGCATCAGAGGCTGGAATAGAGGAAGATGTTTCGGACTACCAATTTATCTGTCTGCCCCCAATTTGTGCCCGAAGTCTCAATAGTCTGGCGCCAAAACTGCTTAATGGGTCCTGTAATTATACATCGGATGTCCACTCTGATGTGATATGTAATGGAATTTAACATTTCCATCCTAATATGTATTTTCTGATTAGGAATGGATTATCTAGTATCACTAGAGGTGCCAAAAGGTCCCCCCTCCCCTGAAAAAAGCTTGTACCCCCATTTCATTTCTTAAAAATGTATTTTTGTCGCTAAATATGTGTCAGGATTCACCAAATCAATTCTACTACTCAAACTCTGTTTATATGGGGATATACCGCCCATTCCTCCCTTATTCTGCTCGGATGGATTACGGCGCTTTGGCATTTAAATCTCATCAATACAGTTGACCTCCCCCCCTCCCCCCAAACCTTTTAAGTCAGCCTGCCCACTTTGTACCCCTAGTTCCAAGAGACTGGCGGCGCTCCGTATTCTCCCATCCCTAATAAATTGCGTTTTAAATGATATCACATACAATTAGAAATTAAATGTCGCATTAAATACCCTCCGCATTCTAAGAGAAATTTTTTTCCGGACAAACTAGTTGTCAACTCCACGTGTATCCTGAATCTTTTTCGTACATCATATGGTATAATGTTCATTCTCGTGTGATTTATTCCTTTTTCCTTTTCCCAAAAGGTTTCACGCGTGTCTTTTTATCTGTTTCTACGACGTCAGGCACTTCCAGGAAGCCGCGAAGTACCCCAGGCCTTTCCTTCGGATACTAACTTCTCTGAGGTGGGAAGGTCATTCACTGGCAGGTCACTCAACCCAAACTACAAAATATAGTTTAATGTTGCCTTGATTCTGAACATAACTCGTTCAACCTGAATCGTGTAAGTGACCGACCAAATTGATGCGTTCCGTACGGATGATTTTGTGAAGTAAACAACCTTACAAACAATTATGTTATTATTGGTAGCGCGTATACATACTGCCCGATCCTTATCCGCATTCGATCTATATTAAACGCGATCGTATATGCTTACATAAAAAAAAGACTTCTTAAAGCTCATTGGACGATGGAGAAGGAAGTCTTTGAAATTGATCAATGACATTCTTGTATGTATTTTGACGAAATGTCGATAGAATAATATCCTGTTATCAAATTGGCCAATCAAACTGCTCGATAACTTAAACACGCTTTGATTGGCCAAGAAATTAGGTCGGTATTTATATATATACTGTTCACTATTAAATGATTATACTATAATATAGTATTGTCAATTGGTATACACGAATAGTACTCATTTCAACTTAGTATGTGTGTAAAGAACAACAAAATGGCATTTTCCTTAGTAGATCGGATAAAGAAAGGAGACGAAAAAGCCGTGCTAGACATTTTACAAAATAACAAATACGGTAACGTGGATTTACAGAATGGCAATGCTTTATTCTGGGCCTGTGTTAAAGGTTACCTGGAAATAGTGAAGTTACTTATACAGAAAGGTGACAATGTTAATGCCAAAAATGCATGGCAATCTACGCCACTGCATGCCGCCAGTGATGCTAACTGTCCAGAAATTGTCAGGTAAATATACATTTTTTTCTATTTTCTTCAATAGCAACTCATTTAAGTTCATGCTGAAATCGCATTCCAAATGTGTTCATGATTAATTAGCTCGACAGCCTGCTGTACCCGTTCCTCGAATGGGATATCGGCACTTTAGGACCAGACATAAAATGTCACTTTTAAGGAAGTTGCTCCTACGCAATTATGGTGAAAATTCTCAAAAACTAGCGACCAAAATTGGGTCGGAGCAATTCCCATAAAAGTGACATTTTATGTCTGCCACTAAACGCGATACTCTCTTCTTCCAGATTTATTTTCTAGAACATTCCTGTACCTGTGCTTTTGTAACACTGTTTTCAATAACGCCGCGAATAGACAAGGTATGATGTCCGGTGCGCAATAATCGATACAAACGAAAATAGAAGTGAACACACGGTGCGGACACGATTCTTGTCTTTTAGTTCTATATTCTACTGTATCGACAATATCTTACCGTGCATCATACCTCGTCCTGTAGGCTGGAATTATTCTAAAAAAAACAAATGAAATAAA